CAAATAAATAAAATATAAAAAAAAAAATAAAAAAAAAATAAATAAATAAATAAAAAGATTTATTTATTTGACAGAAAGAGAGAGCGGGCGCGCAAGCATGGGGAATGGCAGGCAGAGGGAGAGGGAGAAGGAGAAGCAGGCTCCCAGCTGAGCAGGGAGCCTGATATGGGGCTTGATCCCAGGACCCTCGGATCATGACCTGAGCTGAAGGCAGACGCTTAACCAACTGAGTCACCCAGGTGCCCACAAATAAATCAATCTTAAGAAAAGAGAGAATGATATGAGGTTTCAAGAAATAAGCATTCAGGCCTCAAATCCTACAGGTGAAGTATGGAAAATGGAGAAAGAGCCAGTTAGCAGGTAGACACAAAACTGGACGGTGAAGGAGGCCAAGAGGACAGTCAGGTTCCTTAAGAACACTAGAACTAACTCTAAACTATTACGGAAGGGTGTCCACCTGGAGAAAAAGCCATCTGTGTATCTCAAGTTGGGCCGTTGTTCATAATTAAAATCACCTCAATTTTAAAGACTTAATTAAAATGCCACATTTAATAAGCATGAGTAACTACCTTTAATGGTCAATTTTTTCAACTCTCAAACCTTCACTTACTCAAGTCGCAAATAACAACCCAGTGTATTATATTCTTAAAAATCTAGGTATTTTCTTAATCTTGTCAGTTTGCTCGTTGATCAAAACAGTTTAGAAAGTAATGCAAATAACCTGGTAAATAAAGTGAGGGTCAAAGTCTAATAAAGTACAGCCTTGAAAAAGCTTCTATGATCCATTTCTCCACCCATGAACATGAAGCATAGTCCCCTACATTATGATCATGCTCCAGGAATAGTTCCAGTACTAGCTCAGCTAAAGAATTTTCCCTTCTTCATGAATCAAAGCCAGATTGGTTGCTTTATCACTTTATGTAATATACTTGCTTATAAAATCTAATTCTAAAAAATCCAAAGCCAATTTCAAACCACAGACAACTCAATCACAAGAACTGGAGTGATTTATAATTAGATCATAATCGACTACTTTCTTCCCAAACCAACTTTCCCAATTATGGGTTTCTGTCTTAATTAATATGCACGTGGCCAGGTGAAGTACTGCTTTCATGGTCTCAGATCAACTGCCTATGTTTATTATCAAGATTATGACATTCTGAGAGTAAAAATGCACAGGCCTATAAATTTAATGAGAGATTTACAAGATCGTCAAAGCACAATGTCACCTTAGAGAATTCCTATGGCAATGAGATTGCTTTTCAAAAGGCTCAGACCCCCAACGCCTTACCTTGACCTCCTTAGAGCTACTGGAAGTCTTCCCTTCAGTCTTCTTCTGCTTTGATGTGGAGGAACTGTTTTTGCTGCTGCCACCATTCTCCTTGTTGCTATTATTACTTGACTTTAAAGAAGACGACTGACTAATAGTCCTCTTCCGAGAGCCATGCTCTGTTTTTGGATCTTTTGAAGGAACGGGCCCCGCGGGAGAAGGCAACAAATCCTTTTCTTTTGCAGCACTTTGCTTAGATGACCTGCCAAATCAAACAAATGCCTTCATTTCTCCAACGCAGTCATATGGTGGTGATGGATTTTTTTCTATTTCTTTCTGCCTGCTTTCAAGACAAATTTGTTTCTCCCTATTTAAGTATCAGGACACATGATTTTTACAAAACAAGAGTGTACATTTCATAAGGACAGGCCTCTTACCTGTTTTCCACCCTCTGGCTGTATGTATACCCAGTGCCTAAATGTTGGCCTGCCACACAAGTATTCAATAAATACTGGTTACATAAATGAGAAGATGAATGATGAAGATATGAAGTTCCTAAGTTAGAAATCGGTCTCTTGCCAGATACAGATAAGCTTGTCATCTAGCCAGAAAACGGTAAAACTTTAATTCTTATCCTGTACTCAACCCTACTCCACTACAGAAAGAAGAAAGGAAGAAGAGACTGAATCTTAAAACTTTCCATTGCAATTAGCCAACAGCAAAAGCTCCCTCCTCTACTAGTTGGTATATGTACACATATACATGGATATGACATATGTTCACTGAAAGGAACAATCTAAGAGCACATTAGAAAGTACCCAATGGCAAATGACATACACATATTAACACACATGTAACATGTTTTGGGGACGTACTCTCTGTTGCTGGATGGCTTGTGACCTGCTGAATTCTTGTCCTCCGTTTTGGGTTTCTTGCTGTCATTGGCTCGGGTATCATCTTCGTTCTGGATGAAAAATAGAAAAAAGCTACTACGTTTGATTTTTATTCATCTTATTTCAGTTTCCAGCAGGAGTCACCCTTAATAATTCATCCCTGATTAGTTTCAGAAAGAAAATAAATGTGAAGTGAAATAATTCATTTAAACAGTGTTCAGTGAACGGAGTTTCAAGGCTGAGAAGAAGTCTATTTTATTTTAAAGATTTTATTTATTTATTTGACAGAGACACAGCGAGAGAGGGAACACAAGCAGGGGGAGTGGGAGAGGGAGAAGCAGGCTTTCCTCGGAGCAGGGAGCTTGATGTGGGGCTCGATCCCAAGACCCTGGGATCATGACCTGAGCCGAAGGCAGATGCTTAATGACTGAGCCACCCAGGCATCCCAGAAGTCTCCTATTTTAGATAAACAGAGCCCAAACACTGAAACACATTTCCTACAGTCTTTTAGGTGACATCTTTTCATCCTAATGACTTTGGGGGGCTGTGAAATTATAATTAAGATATAATTCATATATGGGCGCCTGGGTGGCTCAGTCGTTAGACATCTGCCGTCGGCTCAGGTCATGATCCCAGGGCCCTGGGATTGAGCCCCACATCAAGCTCCCTGCTCTGCGGAGAGCTGCTTCTCCCTCTCCCACTCTCCCTGTGTTGTGTTCCCTCCCTCACTGTGTCTCTCTCGGTTAAATAAAATCTTAAAAAAAAAAAGATATAATTCATATACAATAAAATCCACTCTAAAAGTTCACAATTCAATGACTTTTAGTATATTCACAGAGGTGTACAACCATTACCACAAACAATTCTAGAACATTCTCATCATCTCAAAGACACCTTGGACCCTTCAGCAGGCATTCCCCCATTCCCTCCACTCCAGACTCTAGTAATCACTAATCTATATATTTTGTCTTTATGGATCTGCCTATTCTAGACAGTTCATATAAATGGAATCACATTTGTGGCCTTTTGTGTCTGGTTCCCTTCACTTAGTATATTTTTCAGGTTCACTGATGCTGTAGCATGTATCAGGATTTCATTCGTGGTTATAGCTGAATGTATTCCATTGTATGCACATACCACATTTTATTTATCCATTCATCAGTTAATGACCATATGGGTTGTCTCCACTTTTCGGCTAATATAAATAATACTGCTGTGGACATTCAAGTCTAAGTCTTTGTGTAAACATATTTTCATTTCTCTAGGGTATATACCTAAGTGGAATGGAGTAGAATTGCTGGGTCACACAGTAACACTGTGTTTAACTTTTTGAAGAACTGCCAAAACTGTGTTCCAAAGCAGCTACCTATCATTTTATATTCCCACCAGCACTGTACGAAAATTCTAACTCCTCCATATCTTCGCTTGTTACTGTCCATATTTTTTTTTATTTTTATTTTTTTAAAGATTTTATTTATTTATTTGACAGAGACACAGCGAGAGAAGGAATACAAGCAGAGGGAGTGGGAGAGGGAGAAGCAGGCTTCCCACGGAGCAGGGAGCCCGATGTGGGACTCGATCCCAGGACCCTGGGATCATGACCTGAGCCAAAGGCAGACGCTTAACGACTGAGCCACCCAGGTGCCCCACTGTCCATATTTTTTATTATAGCCAAGCCTAATGATTGTGAAAAATGTTTTGCTGAAACAAAAGCTATGAGCCTGTCTGTAATTGCCAAAGCTACCTTCCTGACTGATTCTAAGTTTTCCTATTGCTTTAAATATTGAGGCCCAAGAATCCAAAACATTCTGCCATAACAAAAGAATCTGTTCCCTACACAAATGATTGAGAGTGGACACATAAAAACATGAGACAAAAGAATCTACATCCTTCATTACCCTTGGTTGAGACTCCTCTCAGTACCATCTGCTTCATCTTCAAGAACTGTCCCTGACACTTAATTTTACCAAAGCCATGAATCTCAAAAATCATTCCAAGTTTCCGGACTTGATTCTGATTTTATAAAATCAAAATCTGACTTTCACGTGTTGACATAAAAAAACTCAGGAGGAATAAAACATGCCAGTGAAATGTAGAGAAGGGGAGAAGTAAGGTGCAATTCTTTTAGAAGAAGGGGATTTTCTATTTTAAGTTATATATATTGTACAATTTTTAAACAAAAGAGTAAAAAAGGCATTCTATATTGTATT